AATCAGTGTTTTTGTGTCTTTTGGGTAGATACGTAGGAGTGGGAATCCTGGGTCATAGGGAAGCTCCATTAAACATGGATTTTTTAAAATATCTTTTCCAAATTGTTAGTGTATATAAATGATTTTCAAATGCTATTTTGCTGAATTCAGTTTTTTGTACAATCTTGAGTTTTCTCCATATAAGATCAAGTCATCTGTGAAAAAGAAAAAAACTTTTTCTTTGACATGATCAGATGGATTTACTCCTGGAATGCAAGGATGATATAACATAAAAATCAATCATTGTTGAGCCTAGTGGCTCAACAAGTTAGGATGCATCACTGTAAGCTACCTGCAACCACTTCAGTGTGAGTTCAATTCCTGGCCCTGGAGGTGATCCACATGGTGTGGCAGACTTCGTGACCCACCTGCTGCTCCCCTCAGCAGTGTACTTCATTGATCTGCATATTCTGCTTCCTGCTCTGTCTCTGGTGAAGACTCTCACTACTCCCTGCACCTCTGGTCTGTACCCCAGTTCTGTATGCATAAATAAAATAAATCACATTAACAGAATAAAGTTCAAAGTAAGACCACATGACCTCTCAACTGATGCAAGAAAAAGCTTTTTACAGATACCAACAACTCAGTACTGGAAGTTCTAGCTAGACTCATTAGGCAAAAAAAAAAGGAAAGAAAGAAAAATCACCCAAATTGGAAAAGATTGGGTACATATGCAGCTGAATGTGGTTTGCTAGTGTTTTGTTGAGGAGTTTTACACTAAGCTTCATAAGGCATAGATTTCTTTTCTTGTAGTATTTTTGTCTTGTTTCGCTTGGCTTAAAGAATGAGTTAGGAAGTACTCCTTACTCCTTTGTTTTTTGGAAAAGTTTGAGAAGGATTAATATTAGTTCTTCAATGCTTGGTAGAATTCACCAAAGAAATAGGTCCAGAAATTTTCTTAATCGGGAGATTTTTGATTACTGATTTAATTTTGTTACTAGTTGTAAGTCTATTCAATTACTTTTCTTCTTTATAATTCAATCTTGGCAAGCTTTGTCATTTTAGAATTCATTCTTTTTATCTATATATTCTAATATATTAGTCAACAATTGTTCTGAGTTCTCTGTTATAATCACCAGGAAGCACTTTTAGCAGAACTAAAAGTACTGTCTTCACTTACAATTCTGATTTTATTAATTCTGAGTCTTCCCCC